ATAAGGAAGAATTTCTTTACTGTCTGAGCCCCCAAGGTCTGGAACAGCCTGCCATTGGAGGTGGTTCAAGCACCTACATTGAACACCTTCAAGAGTAAATTGGATGCTTATCTTGCTGGGATCTTATGACCCCAGCTGACTTCCTGCCCTTTGGGCGGGGGGCTGGATTCAATGATCTTCCGAGGTCCCTTCCAGCCCTAATGTCTATGAAATCTATAGTGGGATATGACACTGACTCAGCAAGGTGTTTAAAAAGAGACCTAAACATAAGTACTTTCAAGTACTACATTTTAGAAACTATTTGTATATTAAAGTTAAGCATATGCATAAGTACCTCACTGTGAATCAGGACCTCAACAGCCTGCCCACAGTCACATAGGATGTCTGTAGAAAGCTAGGAATAAACCCCAAGTTTCCTGCATCCCAGTCCAGTGCTTAATAATAAGACTAGACTGCAGATGGTAGTGTATTGAAATTTTAATTATTTGGAACTCTGTATCATCCTAGTTTTTGTGCCTGTAAGTGTGGAAAAATTCAAGGTGTGCAAAATTTTAACAGATCTTCTGTTCTTTTGGTTAGCCATGACACACAATAGGTTTCTAAATGCCGTCTTCATTGAGTGGTGTTTAAATATATATTGTTTTTCACATTTTAGTTAATGCTTATTTTGCCAGTCTAGGCAAGAGTTTATTACACTTGAAACATTTATTAATGTAAAGTATCAAGATTTCATTGTATGGATAGCACTTGGATAATTTAGGACTATCATTTTGCTTCACTACATATAATTTACTGATGTCATACTTCCACGGTACTATGGCTTCATTTACAGATGTAACAACGTAACACATTAAGATGTGAATAATTATGGATTTTTAGAGGCTTTACATTATTTTGCTGTTTATACAGTAGAGAGGCTAACATTTCCTGGAAGGAGTTTTAGGACGAAAGATGCAAGAAGCAGGTTAATCTGTACATTTAGTATCCAAAAATCTCTTTGTGGGCCTTGACTTGATTTGGATCTAGATACCCATTGTATTTTGGTTTATATGAATACAACTTGTAAATTGGTAGGTTGAGGCCCCAGGCCTAGTGACCCTTAGGGCTAATGTGGTTAAATCATATCAATTTGTGTAGCCAGGGGCACACAAGGAAGGAAAGTGGTTAGTACCATATCTGGCTGTCTTTGACAGCCAGGCCAAATGACCAGGTACGTCAGAGGCATAGCAAAGCAGCCATGATGCACAGAGCAGTGTCAGCTCCTGCAGTGGTGATCATGTCAGTGTGTACAACTGCTGCTATGATGGCAGCTATTTTTGGGTCCTTCAACAAAGAAAGCATGTGGGGCTGCTGCCCTAGTTGCTCCCACTCAGTTATGCTCTTGAGGTACTTATTTACTGTAGGTTCAGCTGGGCCATGGCTCTTAAGAGTAGGTCTGAGACTTGTAGTGATAAAAGTTATAATTTAACAATACTGCTTAATTTAGAGTTGGAAATTGGGAGATGATCCCTCAGGTAGTAGCTGGAGTTAGAGAGGGACAAAGGGTTTGCAAAGGTTGCCTGCTGCTCTGCAATTAGTTTGTTTTTTTAGTTCTTCTCATTCATTGTATGCCTGTATTTATGGAACCCAGTGATTACAACATGGTGTCAGGAATGGCCAGTAAGAAAGAATGTGAAAGACTAAGCTCTAAATTGAAAAATAAAATGGAAAATGTGAAGGCTTACATTGCAGAACTGAATACTTCTAAAGGGGATGTCCATCCAATAGGAATGAAAGAATGTGGCCTGAAAAAGCCACCTCACTCAGTGAAATTTTCCATTGGCAAGGAAACCTCTGTTTTATCTGTAACAAGAGGAGCAATTTTGCCAAGTGCTTCAGAACTCAAGCACATAAATCTCAAGGGCACTCAGTTGAACACGCACTGGGAGAAGATTTTTTATAGATATGGTGGAAAATCAATGAGGGGGACTGGCTTTTCCAGTGTAAGTGCAAAGAACATGGTTTTATTTAAATTGGACACAGGAGCTCAAGTTAATATTTTACCACAGCATGAATATATAAAATTATAATTGAGATGAAAAGTGAGTCCAACAAACATCAAAATAACTGGCTTTTCAGGAATATATCTGCCAGTGAAAAAGGATATCTGCACTGCTAGCATCCAGTATAAAAACAGAGTACAAACTCCCATGTATGGTGGTATCCTGGAAGGTGACACCAATTTTGGGTCTGGCATCTTGTGAGAAATATAATCTTGTTATGTGTGTGCTTATAGAAGGACAATAAAAAGGTGCAAGATCTTGGATATTACACCTGCACCTCCAGAAATGTAATACATCTCATTCAGTGTATTGAATGCCCTGATGGAAACTAAGTAGGAGAAACCAAACAACAACTGTGTACCAAAATGAACACACACTGAAAATCTATCGAAGATTAAAATACCCCGTTACCAGTGAGTGCACATTTTTCACAAGAATCCCTCTCTCTGATTTCTCAGTTTTAATCCTCAAAGGGAATTTTACAAAACCTTTCACAGATGAGCCTACAAACTTTACTTCATAAATCTACTGGATACAAAAAATCATGGACCGAATATAGTCATTGGATTTATGGCACATTATAGCCTACCTGCCATCCAATAACCCCAGGTAACCTCTCTTCATTTTAACAGTCACATTTTATCACTGGTCAACATTCCCCTCTTCCCCCCACATCCCCATCTATCTGTCTCGCACCTATTAACTCCCATACCCTTTGATTTTTCCCTGCCACGCATTTGCATTTTCACAGACCTCCATATTGCCTTAAGCTTCTGTTCTACCCAGAAGAGTACACAAACATCAGCAGACTCTCTCTACATCTGAAGAAGGGTGTTTGTGCCTGAAATCTTGTACAGAATTTTTTCTGACTATTTAATTGGTCTAATAAGAGATATCACATTTACCCAAAGAGCCTTGTTTGCCTATGTCCTTAGAGCAAAACAGCTATAATCAGCACCCCAATAGAAAGACAAAAACATCCATGTCTCCTGACGATTTTCTTGGCCATCAGAGCCCAAATCTGTACAATCTTCTTAGGAAGAAACCAATTGTTCCAGAACACAAGAAGCAACCCTGTCTTATGGGAAGAAATATATCCAGTGACACAAATGCAAATAGTATCATGCAGAAAGAACCTTAGCAGTCTATAGCTAAATGACCTTTGTGCTGTGTGTGGAAGCATAGCTATCAAAAGCTATGATACTATGATACTTTGTTGGTCTGAGAAAAAAATTGAAACCTCTTGAAAATCTGACAGGGTGCAGACAGAATTGACACTTTTCGCATGATCTGGCCCCTAAAAGAGCTCTACAGACATGTCATAACACACGTGCCTGGCTGCAGATCACTTTTAAAATGGCCGATCATGTGAAAAAGTAACCCTCATTAAATCAGGTAGTATATGAAAGCGCTCTAAATTAGAGCACCTTAGTAAACTTGTATACAGTTCTCTACAAGAGTTGTGTTATACCCCTGGTCTGCCACAGGGAGAAGGCAGAGAGTCTCCTCCCTATACAGCCAGCCAGCAGGCAGGAGAGGGGAAGCATCTGGGTAGTGATTGGGGGTGCCCTGAATGGACCCTCCCCCCACAGCAGGAGAGGGCCCTTGGTGCCCCATGGCACCTGCAGGGAGGGGGCACAGTCCCTGATCTGCCCTCACACTGCCCCCCTCCTCCCTGTACTAAGGAATGAATCATGGGTGGCTCTTTGTAGCCATCTGGCAGGCAGGAGAAGGGGAATAGCTAGGCAGTGATCAGGCTGATTAGCTTCAGTAGCAGGCTACAGATCCCCCTGCCTCCTGACCTCAGGCAGTGCATGGCAGCACTTGGCCCCCACCATCAAACACTCAATGTCTGTTAGCTTTGATGACGCTGTAACTTTAAGCACTTTGTGTAAAGTGCAAAAAGGTACAACACGATCGAGGTGCCCTCCTGTAAGCATGGACAGAGACTTGTTAAAAGAGCTGCTGCAAAGAGGTAATAGGAAAGTGAGTGGCAAAGACACACTTCAGAATAATATACTAGTAATCTTTCATAGGCATTAGGGCTGGAAGGGACTTCAGAAGATCAAGTCCAGCCCCCTACCCCAAGGGCAGGAAATCAGCTGGGGTCTCACGATCTGAGCAAGATATATGTCCAATTGCCTCTTAAAGGATTCCAGAGTAGGTGCTTGCACCACCTCTGGAGGCAGTCTGTTCCAGGCCTTGGGGACTGGGACAGTAAAGGATTTCTTCCTTATGTCCAGCCTGAAACGGTCTGGGAGAAGTTTATGACTGTTAGACCTTGTCATCCCATGGGGCGCTCCAGTGAACGGATGTTCCCCCAGATCCTGATGTACACCCCTTATATACTTATAGGCTGCCACCAGGTCCTCACTGATCCTGTGCTTTTCCAGCCTGAATAGTCCCATGGCTCTCAGCCTCTCATTATAAGACCTGTTCTCCTGCCATCTGATCATGCACGGGGCTCTCCTCTGGACTCTCTCAAGCTTCTCCACATCCTTTTTAAATTGTGGAGCTCAGAACTGGATGCAGTACTCCAGCTGTGGCCTCACCAAGGCCGAGTACAGCTCGAGGATGACATCCTGGGATTTTCTGGAGAAGCATCTATGGATGCAAGCCAAAGTTTTGCTCACTTTGCCATCTGCAACATCACATTGATGGCTCATATTCATCTTGTGGTCAATCATGACCCCCAAGTCCCTTTCAGCCGTGGTGTTAGCGAATGTAGCACTGCTGAGTCTATATGCATGCTGCGGGTTTTTCTTCCCAAGGTGGAGTACCTTCCATTTTTCAGAGCTGAAGGCCATCAGGTTTACATCCGCCCATTTTCCAAGCCTGTCAAGGTCGGCCTAAATCACTATCCTGTCTTTGGGTGTGGGCACTTTACCCCAGAGTTTGGTGTCATCAGCAAATTTGGCCAGTCCGCTTCTAACTCCAATGTCCACATTGTTAATGAACATGTTGAAGAGGATAGGCCCAAGGACGGAGCCTTGGGGGACCCCACTGGTCACAGCGCACCACGATGATTGACTTCTGTCAGCTACCACTCTCTGCGTCCGGCCTCGAAGCCAGTTCCCCAGCCAGCAGACTGTGATGTAGCTGAGGCCACAGTTGGCCAGTTTTTTGATAAGACAATCATGGGATACCAGATTGAAAGCTTTTTTAAAGTCGAGATAAATGATGTCAATCAATTCTCCCTTCTCGAGGTGATATGTCACCCGGTCATAGAAGGAAAGGAGATTGGTCAGGGAAGACCTATCTGCAACAAACGCATGCTGGCTATTCCTCAGGAAGTTGCCCTCAGCCACTCAGTTGAGTATGGTCTGCAGCTGTGTGTTAATTGATTTTGCATTAGTTGATTTTTGTAGTTATTGCTAAGAGTAAAGATGTAGTGATAAAAGTTATAATTTAGAGACACTCTTAATTTAGAAGAGTTGGAAATTGGGAGACAATCCCTCAGTTTGGTAGTATCTGGAGTTACCAGTTTTAGAGGGAGGGACAAAGAGTCTGCAGAGATTACCTATTGCTCCACAGTTGAAGTTGTTTAGTTCTTCTCATTCATTATATGCCTTTATTGAACCCAGTGATCACAACAGGACTCATACCTCTGCAGCTGTAGCAGGGCACTGTAAAGGCTCTTTAACTATACCCCATTTCTCGGCAGTACTATATGATGAATTTGAGGTTATTGAGATACTGTTCATTTAGTCATTTTGGGCTTCAGACCCATAAAGATTAACATCTATGACACTGAGAAATGGCAAGAGCCTCCAGGGATATTTCTGATATAAAGAAGTGCAGTGACCCTGTCTGTATAACTGATCACACCTTGACTTAGCAGCTTATTCAGAAATCAATGCCACACAACTGCACAGAATATCAGGAAAGTTTTCAAATGATAATATGAAATCTAAACAAACATTCAAAATTTATAAATGCATTATCATTGCTTCAGTTGAAAACCAGTTATGGAATAAAAGGAAAAGATTTGCAGTTAATTTTAAGTACATGACCAAAGATAACTAGAAATTGATTCAATTTAATTGTTTCCAAGGAACCAAATAACTTATTTCAATGGAACTTCAGCTACATTCTAAGGATAAGTCCATCGACTGAGATAAAACAGTTAACTTACACTTTTTACTCCACAAATTAAATGTTTTCAAATGCAGAAGTTATACAGAATGACAACTGTATTGATAACTTATGTATATATTTTTTCTATTTTAACTCCATATGCCTATACACCTTTTAGTTGTAACTAGAATTGCATGTTGAAAGTTGAAAATGTTTACTTTCATTTAGGTTCCAGCCTCAATCTTTCAAGAAGGCTGATATTTGTGAAATGTCCATCCAAGTTTTTAATTCAACATTTGCACTTTTCAACTAAATCTCTAAACTTTCTTGAAGGCTATCAGTTATAATTAGAGACATCAATACTGTATTCCCCCAAATCCAAGACAATTTCAGATTTAAGATGCCCCCAATACTAAAATTCTGTACATGAATATGGTACAAATTTGTCATAATTTTCCATGTATAGAATCTAATTATTGGAGAGTCTTGGTAAGTTGGTCCCCCCTTACTATTGCAGTTGGGAAAGCAACATCAGGGAGGCAAGTGGTAGATGGACAGGCGGCAGGGGGTGGTCAAATAACCTGTCCCCTGCCCTTGCCCCCCCTGCACCATGCCTCCTTCCACCTGTCCTCCCCACCATTTATCCCCCCTGCCACCTACCTCTTCAAGGTGCCTGCCCCTCCCCGCACTTTGCCTCTGTCACTTGGGCCCCCCACCTGCTGTCTGCCCCACCTGTGACTGCCACTTACCCTCAGTTGTGAATCCAATTCTGGCCCTACTCCAGCCTGGGACAGAGTACATGGTGACTCTGACCACCACCCACCCAAGCAGCAATGGTTGCAGTGGTGGTGATGGCTCTATCCCTGGTTCTGGTCCCAGCTCTGGACCCTTAGGATAGGGTCAGAGAAAGGGCCAAAGCTAGAGCTGCTGCCAACACCACAGCTGCTACTACCTTACTGGATAGTAGCCAGAGTCACCATATCCTATGTGCCCCAGGGTGGAGAAGGCCAGGACTGCTGGGGGCAGGTGGCAGGGATGGAGCAGCTGCAGCTCTGACTCCAAGCCTGGGTCACAGATACAACTACAGTAGCTGCCTGCCCTTCTGCATCGTACTCAAATCCAAAATGAATGGATTTGAGTAAATATGGTAAATAATATATTTATGTATATAAGGATGTTTTTGATTTAAAAAGAATAACTTGGATCTATTTTGTACTGAAGAGGACAAATAATAATGAAAGAGAGATTATATGTTATCCTTCCGTTTGAGAATGTAAAAATGCTTCCCCAGCATTAGTTGATTATCTTGAAATTACCCTTTGGTTCACAAATGTAGATTGAATGGTGAAAAAATGGATGATTGCTAATGTCAGAATTCAGTTCTGATTTTGGAGGGCACTTAAGCACATGCTTAGCTTTTACTATTGCACTTACGTTCAACAGAATTGAGTACATGCTTAATTTTAATGATGAATATAAGCACCATCATTGAATATATTTGCTCTTCTGAATAGAGGCCCACTTTGTGATGCCCATTTTGTATTGGCATTATGAAACAACCCCAGAAGAACCTGGATTTTTCATATTGGGATAGTTGGCAACCTGCTTAATTTGAAGTAGATTGCTTAATTAAAAATGAACTGTTTGTCTGCCTGTTGCAGCTTTTGCTTTCAGGAGCTCAGGATCCCACTCCTCTGATCAGCTGCACTAGACAACTAATTTGCTCAAGCTGAGTAGAGAAGTGGTGCCTTTAGTGATCAAAATTGGAATTTAGGGCATCTTT